CGTTAGTTTAACTGACGTCGTTCCTGCTTTTAGTATTAGTCTCTTTTAGTTACCCAAGTCTCTTAATATATGTGCGATTTCTTTGTTATGAATTATAATTAGCTCATGGTGAATGTGCACTTGCTTAAACTTTCTACTGGTATTATTCTAGTTTTTTAACATTTGAGTTATCCAGAAGCCAGACTAAAGCTTCATGCTAATGAAATTAGGTTCACTTTAAGGCCCCGAGCACACTAGCCACTCTGTGGCACCACAAGTGGCCGCGCAAAGTGGCGGGCCAGAGCACACTAGCCACTTTTTAGAGCCACAAGTTGCGACCACATGTGGTTATGTTTTGAATACCCGGCCACATGTGGTCGCCACACCGATATCACTACATCTCAGTTTCAGCATGGACTCTGAGACTCTGAGGAAGAGGCACAGTCAATGCTTATACTTCTGCGACGTCGCCGCCGCCGTCGTCGGAGAGCGATATGGATGCACCAAATTACTGCTTCGAGATTGACCCACGGACAGTTTTACATGATAATGAGTGACTTAAGAGCAGATGATGATAATTTTGTTTGACTACTTTAGGATGACCCAGGAAAGTTTCAACGAACTCTTGGCCATAATTGGCCCCCACATTCGCAAAGACAGTACACACACACCTACGGAAGAGCATTCCAGCTGAGGAGACACTTGCCATGACATTAAGGTATGTAAATAATACAATTATTTTTAGTGAGTTTATTAAACTGTATTTCAATGAAACTGTACTGTAATACAAAGCTATATTTCCTTTCCTATATCGCTAAGATTATGAATGCTTCTAATGATAATATTTGTGTTGTCACTTCAGTGTTTTGTTCACAAATTACTCATGACTGAATCATCCGACCATGGGGATACCGATTGTGTTTCAGATAGTTGTGCAGGTGATGGTGTACAGGGTAGTACGGGTTGGCTTTGAGGTACTGTTGATTGTGCATGCATGATGCTAGGAGCGAAATTGTGTGATGTATGACTCGCATGTGAATATGGACTTTGATGATTTGGATGTTGTTTATACCTCTTGATCACATTCATGATTTCAAGCTTAGCATCGAACTTAACACTCTCAGGAATACTCTTGAAGTCAGGCACCAGACCAAGAAGGAAATTTGTATCATGATCGTGAGGGACGCTTACTTTCTTAGCTAAAGCTTTCAGAATAATCTTTTCATCTGATTGTACAGTTGATTTCTTCCTTTTTACATTGGAAGTGGAAGGTGCAGGCTCTCCTGGGTTTTCTCGTTCATCTCCCTGCACTGTAGTATCCTCGACACTTTCAGCTGCATTTGGTTTTGTTGCGCAAATTTCTTGAAGAAAAGACAGCTGTTTGAAGTACAAATATTCCTTCCTCCCTCTTCCTGCTCCAGATCCCGATTTTTCTTTCTTCGACAATGTCAATTCTCTTCTATAGGAGTCCCTCAAACTCTTCCATTTCCGTTGTAGATCTGTAGCTGTAAGAAGATGTAAAGATTAGTTATACAGTTATTAGTCTACACAATAGCTTCATCAAAAATAACTATATGAATAAAATTTCAGTGATAGCACAACGTTTTCTCATGTATTATTATTTGTCGGGTTCAATTAAAGTCGCGTCAAAATCTGAGTAAAATGAGTTTCATGTTATAATATGTAACATCCTCTAGCGCAAGTAGGCCTATGCACTAGGTATCCATACTTGCTATAAATAGCAGAGCATTTCTTTAGAAGTGGATATATCTCATTAACGGCTAATTTGTGGCAGAAATACCAAAGAAGAAAGGTGTCTTAGAATTGTCTGAAGTATAAGAAAAACGATGCTATAGTCCGCTATCGAATATTGGGTAGTTCTATAAATTTACCGATTTTTAAATGTTCTTTTCAGGTTCTTAGCAACAGGGTGTTCCTCTTCTGAACTACATTACACTTTCCGGTGTGGGAAGTCCACCGCTAGAGGGATCGTGCAAGAAGTGTGCAAGGCGATAAGGGAGTATCTACACAACCTATGTTTCCCAGAATTAACAAAGCAAGAATGGCTGGAAATTGAAGAAGGCTTTCGTTGTGAAGCACACTTTCCAAACTGCATAGGCGCCATCGATGGCAAGCATGTGAGGCTCATTAAACCAACGGGCAGTGGTTCTAACTACTTTTGTTACAAGAAGTATTTTTCAATGGTGTTGTTAGCTGTATGTGACGCAAACTACAGGTTTACTTTTATAGATGTCGGTTCTTATGGTAAAGCATCAGACTCCTCAATCTACAAAAACAGTAACCTCTACAAAAAAAAATGCAGCAAAATACACTGAACATTCCTAGCGATAAACCAGTGTCAACGAATGGGGACCCACTTCCCTTCGTTTTCGTTGGCGACGAAGCTTTTGGCCTCTCTACTCACATGCTACGCCCGTATGAGGGAAAAAATCTCCAACACAAAAAGAAAATTTTTAATTATCGCTTATCAAGAGCGATGCGATACATCGAAAGTGCATTTGGCATTCTCACAAGTAAATGGCGCATATTTCATAGACCACTGGATTTACATGTTGAGAATGCCGAAAACATTATCAGGGCATGTTGCACTCTACACAACTTTGTAAGGGAAAGGGATGGTGTACAGTTTGAAAACACACTGAATGTTGTAGGTCTGACTGATGGTGATGGTGCAATACAAGCAGGATGCCCTCGATCCGCTATAACAATAAGAGAAAAGTTCTCGGACTACTTTTCCAGCATAGGATCAGTGTCGTGGCAGGATAGAATGATTGGGAACAGAGTGTAGGGCAAGTCAATGTGTGACATAGTAAAGGATGTAATGTGTTACAATTTTTTTTCTAAATTACTTCTTGTGTCACTTATGTATTAGATATACATTATTATACATTATTATACAGCTATGTAGGAAATACTAGACTTACAATATCAAATATTGTGAATATAAACATATGAAATGTCATACTTGCTTTGTTTTTTCCTTGGCAATCCAACTCATTGAAGTTGGGTACGAATATAGAGCACAATTCCTCCCATGCCTTTGCTTTCAAAATTTTGTTGCTGTATTCCTTGAGGCGCACGTCCCAAATCGCTGGCCTATCTTCTATTTCAATAATAAATCGCTCTGTGTCAAAGCCGAATGAAGCCATGGCAGGTACAGCCCGGACTATAAGTTTGTCAAGTCACACTCTGCAGACAATAACAAATGGTATTTCAAATAATGCCAAATGTGGGAAACAAATTATAAATACGATTACAATGACAGAATAACGCCAATGGTATCTTACTTAGCAGTGATTAAATTTATTTGATTAAATGATTAAATAAAAAAAAAACTTTAAAAAACATGCGAAAAACTGCGTCCGTTAATATTTTATTGAATTTAAAATTTCATTTGTATTGTACTTTTTTATAACTTAAATTTATTAACTTCTCGTTGAATACGGGAAGGTTATGTATTAGGTACGGTTTGTCTGTTTATAAATAAATATTGACCTTTCACACTGAAAAAAGAATGCTAAGTACAATTTATTGGGGCTTAACGACTTAACTTGTTTGATTGAACAGCGGGACAACAAGGCACACCTCACTTATACGAAGTTTCCTGCATCACTGATTAGCAGCCACATGTGGTCGCCACATGTGGTCGCCAGAGGGCGCTAGTGTGCTCTCAGCCAGCCACAAAGCGCCGCCACAAAATGCGCTGTTTGTGGCGGGGACGAGCGACAGCTTGCCACAGTCGCGAGCCACAGACACAAGTGTGATCGGCAAAGCTTGAAAACAATGGGAACCTATGGGAGAAAATATCTCCGTACAAAACGCAGCCACTTGTGGCTCTACAAAGTCGCCAGTGTGCTCCCGCCCTAAGTTAGTAACCATTTAAGTTTAATTTATTATAAAATCTTTACCCGGCTATATGCCAAAGAATAATGAGGGATATATAATTGTTAAAAGGAAATATATTGCTATCATCGTCGAACTTTTTATTTCTCTTTGTGACAGCGTAAACATGTGATTAACATCAATATATTAAGCCTCAACAATTCATCCGAAAGTATATGCCACGAGAATTATTCGAAATCAAGCACATCAAAATAAGCCAACGAAATTAGCAAACAAGAACATGAACTGAATCCTGCTAACATCTGACGCTATCGCAGGCTGGGTGTTGCCAGACAGAGGACGTGAAGGTCATATGACGACGCGGGTGAGGGTTGGCGAGGAGGAGGCGCACACAACCAAGGGGAAGGAGGTCTTGGGGGGTACATGGGAGCCGCAGAAGGTCAGATCCTGTGTGCGGAAGCCCCCAGGTTGAAAGGGTTGGGAATGCGCTCTAAGAACCTCGATTTTTTTCTCTATCATTATTTTAAGCACTAGACGGTTCCCATGGAGTGGTCATGGGGATATTCTGTGAGAACGCAATCGCTCTGGTATCGCCGGAAAACAAGTCAGGGTGAGCCGTCTACCTGAGGGATAACAGCTGCACCGACCGTTGAAACCGTCCCCGTCCATTATACTTGTCCTTGCCGGTTGTACCTTTTCCACGTCCGTTCTTACCGTGCTGTATTATAGAAAGGAAACATAGCATTTTTTGGTACCTTCGGGGGGCCAGCATTCCCTTTCACTTCGAATGTATTTGTGAACTTTCACATTATCAACATCTGAGAGGCACGATGTGGCAACGCCCCGCTACTCCCGCTGCCTTTCTTTAGCTCTTTCTTTTTTTTTCTCAGTCTAACGCTTTCTGCTCTTCTTCCCCTTCAGTTTCTCTTTCTTTGTATGAAGTATCTGTTACAAAGACGCCATATTTCCAGTCCTCATTATGTCGTCAAAGTTTAGGCTTACTCCATGACTTCTGCCTTTCATTCGGTGTTCCTTCTCATTCTTGTACTTTTTATCTTTTTTCTATCTGTATCTAGTTAATTAAGGCTGTATATAGCTCTAGCTTTCTATTTATGTCAATGAATAATAACCTCTTGATCTATATGTTCTCCCCTTCG